GCAGCGCCCCCTGCCGCGCTGGAGGCCGCCTGCGCCCGCGTCGGAGGCCGCCAGTGACATGGCGGAGAGACAGCAGGGGAGGGGAGCTGCACCCTGCGGACCGGGCCGGGCCGGGCCAGCCTCGCTCAGCACAACCCAGCTGACATGCAGGTCCAGGGGCAGCCTGGCCAGGCTTCGCTCGGCGCCCTCGGCAGCGCAGACAGGCATGGCCTGCCTTGTTCAAGCCATGGCTCACCCTCTTCCGTATCAAATCATTGCATCAGACGCTCAAAACCGGCCCTGTTCTCTGAAAACTAGCGTGCGCAGAAAGATTCCGCAAGTAAAAAAGTGAGGGAGGGATTTGCACTCAGGCAAATGCCAAAGAAATGTGTGAGGGATGGATTTGGTCTGAGAAATGCCCAGCTCTAGAACTCTTGGTTCAGAGAGATGCTTTTTCTTAGACCGATGGTTTTATTTTTATTTTTTATTTTTTTTGCGATTTCTTAGTTGGCCTAAGAAAAGGTGGCATCTCTGAACCAAGAGTTTGGCATTAAATTCGTTGTCTCCTTTACTTTATATGGCTCGCTAGAGCTCGCTGAGTAATGACTGAGAACGGGGTCAAAGTTGAAGCATTTCCTTCCTTCGAGGCAAACAGTCATAAGAACGTGTTGATAGCAAACCCAAAAGTCGATTTGGCCTCGTGTGGGCTAAGATCAAGTGTAGTCGCTGCACTGGTTCAATACCCAAGCGGAAATGGATTTAAAATGGCATCGTGTAGAAATGAAGGGTGCAGCCTGGCCCAAATGCGGACAGGAATTCCTGTGAGAGCCTTGGAGTTAGCTTTTCTGCAGAGCGGCTGTTTAGCCAGTCGGTCCCCAGCCTGTGCTGGGGCATGGGATTGATCTGTCCAAAGTGCAGCACTTTGCACTTGTCCTTACTGAACCTCATGAGATTTCTTTTGGTCCAATCCTCCGATTTGTCGAGGTCTCCCTGAATTCTAGCCCTACCCTCCAATGCATTTACTACTCCCCCCAGCTTGGTGTCATCTGCAAACTTGCTGAGGGTGCACTCCATCCCATCATCCAGGTCATTGATGTTATAAAGTATATCAATGTAACTATAGCCACACTGTTAAATTTATTATTTTAATTATTTTGTAGATACAACCAAACACCACAGGAAGAGATGCAGGAATAATGTTTTTATTGGCATTTTGTTTTGTTTTGTTTATTTTAGATTTATGCCCCACCCTATGCAAAAGGTTCAGAATGGCTTTGATTGGCAGATTCACTGAGTGCCAAAATGGTCACTGGAAATCCTAAAAGATGATTAAGTTTTGTTTTATGACTAACAGATGGTTCCTCTTTTCAACATAAGGAACTCTCTGGGCCCTCTGTAAGTATGAAATAGATCACAGCTGTTTGTTTATTTCAGCTCTTACTTTATTTACTGTTTTATTATACACTAAAACATTTCAAATCTCTGAATCTCTCCGAATTGATTCAGAGGTTTCTGATTCGATTTGGAGAGATTAAAGGGTCCTCTGATTCTATTCAGCTTCGGAGATTTGGCCACTGAATTGGGCTGGCAGGGGGCCCTGCTTTGGGCCCCACCGGTGCTGGCCCTGGGACATTGATCCCAAGACATTGGGACATTGGTCCCAAGATGGTGACCAGGAGGCAGGGCACCTGTCAAGGGGCGAGGCTACCCATGCGGCCCTCCACAGCCTGCCAAAACTGGGTAAGCGGCCCTCTGCCTGAAATAATTGCCCGCCCCTGGCCCATGCTATACTGCACTATGGATAGCTGGGTATCAGGGAGAGGCGGCAGCAATAGTCAGGTCTTAGTATTGGCTCGTCTCAGACCTGAGGTGGGTCATTTCAGCCCACTTCCAGAATCCATTCCTGACCTCTGATCTAATGTGTAGACAGGCAGTCACTTGTAGTGCTACAGAGTGTATTGGCTATGCTTTCCCCCTCTGCCCCCTCCCCCTGCAGTAGACATGGGCTACTGTGTACCAGAGAAGGGTCTTCCTCACATACTACTTTTATGGGTCTGGGTGCTTTCAGAACTGGCATCGTGTGCCTTATCCAGGGTCACTGACAATTCCTTTCAGAAACACTTCTCTTTTATCATTATGATAAAAATGATTTCACACTCCACAATTTAACTACCACATAATCTGCTTCCAAACTAATCTGAAAATTCTTAAATTATTAATAGCCAAAAACAACTCCTCAAATGCAAATTAAATTAATAGACAGTTCTCTGCAATATAATCTTTGGGTGCCATGAACTAGTTTTCTTCTGTTTCTACCCTATGTATTACCTCAGAACACATATATTGCATCAGAGGTGTCTACACCCTGGGTGGTAATCAGCAGGGGCTGGGATGGCAGTGGCTAAGTGGTTACCCACTGCTCATTACACTACTGTATTGCATATGTCATAATACACACACACGTATGAACACTTTAGACATTAAGCTATAGTTTCTTGCTGGACAAGACAGTGTCTTTTTTCATTTATTCAGAAACTTCATTAACACTATATATTTCAGAAAAAAGCAAAGGAAAGACTGCTTTCCTGTTACAATTACTGCTTTCTCTGTCCCTCGTGTGCAACATGCTCACAAGTACGTGCTCCGTTCTATAAACTTCATTAACACTATATATTTCAACACTGGATCCTGCTTCTTTTGTGATTATTAAATTGTTCCTTTGTCAATTTGAAACTGTTTTATAACCAATATTTATTCCAAGCATTAGACCAACATTTTAATTTGTTTGTTTCCAGACTTGAATATTTGGCTTCTTGTATCATTAACTGAACGAACTAGTTTCCTGAGCCAGGAACATCCATAGCTACCATATCCAGATTTGATGAAATAATAATTTTGGACAATTTCAAGACACCGTTTTTGTTTTGTAGTATCTATTCTTTCCCTGTGAATTCAATACTAACATTATTGTGTCTATATTGTCTGTGTTGACAAATTCTACACATATATAGAACATTTATCATCTAATTTAACATGTCAGATTAAGTATGAATAAATCAAGAAAGAAAACAACAAAGAATTAAAATGTTTTCCTACTATAAACAGCCCTGCCTATTTTTATTGTGCTACTGACTTTTAAACAAAACTCCTGATTGATTTCAGTGGGGAATTTGTGTAAAAATTGATGGCATGATATGGCCGCTTGGCTGTACCTTAAACATTGTGCAAAAGCAATACACTAAATGCGGGGGAGGGCTTTTCTGTTGATGTGAGAGTTAGTGGATCTTATTCTGACCACAGTAATTACTCCCAGATAGAACATGCCATCTAGATCCACATGCAGAATGGACCTTGAACACATTCTCTTTACAAAGAGTGCAGGAAAAAGCAGTAGGTATCCCATTCCTACTCTTCCCTGGAATCACAGAGGCACCTCCACATGCGTAGGGAACCATGCACGAGGCATAGGTGGGCTGACAGGGAACAGATGGCACAAGGTTAAGGCAGAGGGGAAGTGGAGCAGGGAGGAGGGAAATTCACACATATATGTGAGAACACTACCCTTTTTGTCCTAAACACAAACTGAATGCCTCGCTACTGGAGAATGCCTTGACGAGGAATCCCCAAGAATAGGTCCCGGTATGCTAATTTCATTGGAGACAACCTGCAAGTTGCAGCAAGACACCCAGAGATACAAACAACATCATATCCCTGACAAATCTGAGCTTTGGTTTCTTTTGTGAGAGGCAAACTGTTCCCCATCTCCCACTGAAAGAAAGAAGAACAAACTCTTAGGGCGCGTCCAGATAGGTGCTCACGTGCCTCTTGCCCCGCCTCAAATCCCTTTGAGGCGGGGCAAGAGGCACGTGCAGGAACGAAAAAATGCAGCGTGGGGAAAAAATTAGACCCCTGGATATCCAGGGGTCTAAACAACCCACTCTGCAATAGAGTGGAGCAAGGCATGGTTCAAGACCATGCCCAGAGCCAGCAGGGAGTCAGTCCTCCAAAAGAGACACTCTGGTTTCGGCCAGAGTGTCTCTTTGGTGTTTCGGCTGCCCCCGGCCCCTGGCACTGTCCAAGGTAAGTGTATGTGTGGGGGGTTCATGGGTGTGGGTAGGTGAGGGGTTGC